TTATAGGCTGACTTTCTTCTGGCAACTTTGCTGAACCTCTTTATAGTTCAAATAATTTGTTGATTGTTGGATTTTTTCAGGTATTTATCTTTTGCAAAGGAGAGGTTTTTTTCCCCTCTTCTCTTACAATCCTTATATATTATAGTTTTTTAAAAATCTTTCTTTATGATATTAGACAGAATCCATACTATTATAGGCTTATCCACTGCCTTGGTCTTGAAGGAAATGCATTTAATCTAATAACATTTCTCCACTAAGAATAACATTTAGTTTAGATTTTTTATATATAAACCTTAACCAAGTTAAAAAATTATTCCATTGCTGGCTTGATGCTGTATTTTTCATAAATAGGTGTGAAACCTTACCATATGCTTTTCTATATCAATTAAGATAATCACACTTTTTTTTCCCTTTTTTGTCCATTATTCTGATAGATTTTCTGATGTGGAGTCATCCTGGTATTCCTGAGATAAATCCTATTTGGTCACGTATTTTAAAATACACCATTGGATTTGGTAGCTAGTATTTTTAACTGTGAATATATATTCATAAACAAAATGGGCCTTTTTTGTTCATTTTCATCTGGTTTTGAAATCAACATTAGCCTTAAATTCTATTTTGTCAATAGTTAAGATTGCAATCTGGGCTTTTGGGTTCATATTTGTCTGGCATATACTTTTTTTGGCAAGAGCTTTATTCAGATATGGTTCACATACCATACAATTCATCTATTTAAAGTGTACTATTCAATGGTTTTTAATATGCTCAGAGTTGTGCAACCATAACCACAATCAATTTTGGAATATTTTCATCACCCCCCCAAAAGAAATCCTATACCCTTTAGCTATCATTCACACCCTCTCATTCCCCCCCCGCACCTCCCAGCCCTAGGCAACCACTATATATATATATATATGTTCTCTTTATAGATTTGACTATTCTGAACATTTGATGTAGATGGACTCATACAACATGTGGTCTTTTGTGGCTAGTTTTAATTAGCATGTTTTCAAGATTCATCTAAGCTGCAGCTTGTATTAGTATTTCATGCCTTTTTATGGATGAATAATATTCCATTGTACGTATATACTTTTACCCATTCATCAGTTGATGGGACATTTGGATTTCCACCTTTCGGTTATTATGAATACTGTTATGAACATTCATGTACAAGTTTCTGTGTGGACTGTTTTCAACACTCTTCAGCATATGCCTTAGGAGTGGAACTGCTGTATCAAATAGCAACTCTGTTTAATCGTTTGAGGAATTGCCAGACTGCAACTATACCATTTTGCATTCCTAACAGCAGTATATGAAGCTTTCTATTTCTCTACACCCTCACCAATATTTTTTTATTATACCCACCCTAGTGGGTGTGAAATGGTATCTCACTGTGGTTTCAATTTGCACTTCTCTAATGACTAATGACGTTAAACATCTTTTTTTGTGTTTACTGATCATTTGTATATCTTCTTTGGAGAGATGTCTATTCAGATCCTTTGACCAGTCAAAAAGTTGGTGTCTTATTATATTTTTAATAGATTTGTTTTTCTTTTTCTTTTTTTTTTCTGGCGGCGCCACATGTGGGATCTTAGTTCCCTGACCAGGGACTGAACTTGCACACCCCGCAGTGGAAGCATGGAGTCCCAACCACTGGACCGCCAGGGAAGTCACTGGGTGGTCTTATTACCGAGTGGCAAGTTTTTTTGATTTTTTAAAATAAGTTGATACAAGTTCTTATCTATTATTTGCAAATATTTTCTTCCATTCTGTGGGTTGATCTACCTTTCCTCATCCTTTTATGTTTTAACTTATGCCTTTAAGTGAATCTTATTTATTGCTTTTATTTTTTAATCTTTTAAAAACTTCTATTTTTTAAAGGTTTTCACTTAAAATTTTTCAATATAGGATCTCCTGTAATTGGTGAGTTTAATCCGCTTATACCATTTTCCCCATGGTCAAATGCATTGGGTAACCTGTCAGTTCATTTTTCTCCCTGGACATCTCCCTCCCCATAGCTCATCCTCCTCCAATCTGGACTGAATATTGTGGGCCTGCTGCAAATGTTATCCTGCCACTATACTGGGTTGGGGCACTGATTTCTGGTATCTGCTGCCTCCCTTGATTTACTCCCTTATTTTTTGTGGACTTTTATTTATTTTTATTTATTTTTATAGTAGACTTTTATTTATTTTTTCCTAGATGAGCCTTTTTTTGGCCATAATTAACAATTTATTTATTTTGCAAGTGTTCATATTTAAGTTTTGGTTTTTTCTACTTCTTTTAACATCTTTATTGGATTATAATTGCTTTATAATGGTGTGTTTCTGCTTTATAACAAAGTGAATCAGCTATACATATACATATATCCCCATATCTCCTCTCCCTTGCAACTCTCTCCCACCCTCCCTATCCCACCCCTCTAGGTGGTCACAAAGCACAGAGCTGATCTCCCTGTGCTATGCGGCTGCTTCCCACTAGCTATCTATTTTACATTTGGTAGTGTATATATCTACATGCCACTCTCTCACTTTGTCCCAGCTTACCCTTCCCCCTCCCCATGTCCTCAAGTCCATTCTCTAGGTCTGCGTCTTTATTCCCAATTTTTTTTTAAGATTCCATATTTATGTGTCAGCATATGGTATTTGTTTTTCTCTTTCTGACTTACTTCACTCTGTAGGACAGACTCTAGGTCCATCCACCTCACTACAAATAACTCAATTTCGTTTCTTCTTATGGCTGAGTAATATTCCATTGTATATATGTGCCACATCTTCTTTATCCATTCATCTGTCGATGGACACTTAGGTTGCTTCCATGTCCTGGCTATTGTAAAGAGCTGCATTGAACATTGTGGTACATGACTCTTTTCGAATTATGGATTTCTCAGGGTATATGCCCAGTAGTGGGATTGCTGGGTCATATGGTTGTTCTATTTTTAGTTTTTTAAGGAACCTCCATACTGTTCTCCATAGTGGCTGTACCAATTTACATTCCCACCAACAGTGCAAGAGGATTCCCTCTTCTCCACACCCTCTCCAGTATTTATTGTTTGTAGATTTTTTGACGATGGCCATTCTGACTGGTGTGAGGTGATACCTCATTGTAGTTTTGATTTGCATTTCTCTAATGATTAATGATGTTGAGCATTCTTTCATGTGTTTGTTGGCAATCTGTATATCTTCTTTGGAGAAATGCTGCATAGAAACTAAAGTTTAAAATGTTGTATGTCTTAAATGTTTTAAACTTCTCTTCATGTTTTAAACTTGAAGTATAGAACATGAGGGTAGTTTGGTCACAGAATCATAGGATGGAAAAGCAAGTATCTCCTGAAATCCAAATCTCTTTTATTTCCTAGGTTCAGCCATTGAGTTTGGTTAGCAACGAATACCGTTAGCTAAATAAATTTGGTTGCTGAGTTTCAGAGAGCAAGAAGGAAGTGTTCAGTTAGCAAGGGATGTGTCAAAAAAATTACTGTAATCCGAGTTTAGATTGAATAGTTTGAATCTACTGTAATCTTCATGAATTTGGAGAGCATAATTTCAGATAGCAGGAATATGTCCTCAGAACTTTGAAGGCATTGATCTACCATTTTTTGTCATCCAGATTTGCTGAGTCTAATGCAGATGTTATTCTTGTTCCTAAGTGATTGTTTTTCACCCTCTCTTTGAAAACTTTTAAGATTTTTCTCTTTATTCCTAGAGTTCTAAAACTTCACAGTGCTATGCCTTGGTGTGGGTCTTTTTCATTCATTACACTTGACACCCTTGTTGGGCCTTTCAACCTAAAGAATGAAGTTCTGGGATAGGCTCTTATGTTATTTCATTTTAATAATCCCTTCCTACCCCTTAAAAAGTTTTTTTTTTTTTCACTTTCTAACACCATCAGTCTGATATTAGACCCCTCCTGCGGCCTTTATCTTTTCTCTCACTTTGTCTCTTTCAGAGGTATTTCCTCACTTGCATCTTACAGCTCTAATAATTACTTCTGAATTTTAAATATTTTTAAGAGCTCTGCTGTTTTATAACTCCTGTTGCATTTCCTGTTATTGCATAAAGGCAGTGTCTCTGAAAGTCTTTTTTACCAACTTTTCCCACTTACAACATAGTCAGCATTGTCTCATATCCTAAATATCTTGAAAACATGGTTTTTCATTTTAAACAGTCCTCTATCAAAAGATCAAAATGTATCAAATATTTTAAGCAGCATGAGGCATTATCAAATCTGTGTTTTCGATGTTCAGTCTAGAAGTAGTAGGGAGAATGAACTGGAGCAGATTAGAGTCTGTAATCTAGGAGAGAAATGATGAAAGTCTTATCTAAGGCAGTAGTGCCGGGGGTGGGGGGGTAAAGTCAAAAGAACAGGCTGACAGATTTTAGGAGGTGGAATGGCACAGGACTTGGCGATTGACTGGTTAAGGGAAAAAGGAAAAGTACTATATTACCCTCAGGTTTATGGTTTGGACAATACCAAGAATAGCTGAATCTCTCCAAATAAGAAACATGTATTTTTAATATATTTAATATAACAACAACTTACCTGTTGTTCAGTCTCATTTGAGTTAAGCTAAATCATATCTAAATATAAGTCACAAATGTTCTATAGAAAAATAAAAATTTCCCCCAGTGCTACAGTCTCAGAGATAAGATACCAAACCTTTAGAGGGATCAACTTTTTAATTAAGCTTCTTTAGAGAAATATTTAAAAGGAAGGATGGAAAAATTAGCAGTAAACAAAAATTCAAGTTTAAAATTATGGATGGATGAAACACTATAGAAGAAAATTTTATCACAAAATATTCTAATATTTTGAAATAAAAAGTCATTCTACTATTATAAATACTTTTGTTTTTGTATATTCACTTTGAGTCTCAAAAAGCATTCTGCAAGGTAATTTCCTTTTCATCAGTGAAACACCTGTTTACTGTTTAACCAACAATATTAAAGTGTGGACGCAAATATTTACTAAATATACTTTTCTCAAATAAATGCAAATCACTATTTCTGAAAAGGTTTAATTCTATTTAAATTCATTAGAATATTTATATTTAAATATGCCAATGTAATCTATATGTATTAAGCAAGTAGGAGCTTCTCGAATGAAGAAACAGTCTGATTTGGTTTTATAAATAATGAAGATGATTTAAAATGTAAAAAATTGAGCTTCAAAAACACAGCCCAAACCACCTGTTTTATAAAGTCACACCAGCCATCTACTTCTAAAAAGCCTTTATCAAAGCTATTTCTTCAAACTCAACATTTACTAATTCAACAGATGGGTTTTTAAAATGAGGAATGTAATTTTACTTTCAACTCACTGATTACATACTCAAATGGCGACTTAAAAAAAAATAATTTTGGAATACACAAAGACCCGAATTAAACCATTCTCAACATTTTTTCAGGACTGTTTGCTAACTGGCTTGTTTTTATTTACATATGAGCTTTAAACACGTCTACAACAGGTAGTACACAGAAATAATTATTTGCAACTATAAAACCTGTCAAGTAAACTCCCAATGTAACATCACTGCTTTTTCCTTTTCTTATAAGAATCATTACTATGAACTCGAACTCGCTGGTACACAGAGGATGCTATTTTCATGCTGTCTTTCTTTGTAAGCGTCTTCTCTACTGCTCCAGGTTTCCAAAGTAACAACTGTGCATCTTCTCCTCCAGTTAGCAAAGAATCATCCTGCATATTCCAACAGAAAGAACGGACTGTAGCAGCATGCCCTCCCTGAAGCCTGGTCACATGCACCAATCCTGATGTAGTACAGCTCATTATGTGAATAATTCCTGTGTTTGTTCCTCCAACTACAAACAATTTGTCTGTCTTTTCATGATATAGGCCGCCAATCAAATAGTCCAAAATCCCTTCTTTCACATTAATTACTTCTCTGACATCCGGGATGTTCAAACATGTAATTGGTTCATTGGTCTCCAGATGATTAAGATCCCACCAGCAAAATCCTTCATCATGTGTCATGCAGTAAATCTGTTTATAATCCTTCCCAGACCAACCAATATAGCTTACTGATGAAACTGAGTTACAGGTTGTAACCAGTGCATCTTCTTCATTATCAACAGTAATATCAAATACATTTACCAGGCCGTCAGTTGAACCTGAGACTACCATGTTGGGATTGCTGGGATGGAAACATACTTGAGTGATATCATCACTATGTGTCTCTGAATATGCACCAAGTGGGTCTTTAGTAGTAGACAAATCCTGAGAATTAATTCTTGCATCCCAAAATACCAACAATGCATCATCATCAACTTTTTCTGTACCAGCACAAATGACATGATCATTACAGCTGATATCAAAACTGATAAAACTATTGGAAGGGTAACCCTTGAACAGCTGGACAGGTTTTTCACTGGCTAATCGAGCATCCCAACATTTTACAGTGCCATCAGTGCATGAGGAATACACGCTGTCACAGGAATTTGCAAACTTGACTCCATTAAGTCCAGGATATCCTCTAAATTCTCGCAGTACATTTAATCTTTCTTTGTCATATATTCTGATTGATCCATTAGAACATAAAACAGCAACCAAGCTTCCTTTTTCTGCTTGTACAGTCTTTGATGTGTCTATGCCAAGCAGATAAGTAGGCTCTTTAGTTTCTGAGGAACGTTTAACAATGTTCAAATTAGCAAATTGTTCCTCAATCTTCTCCATATCAGGAGTGCATCCAAGGGTAGTAAAAATCTGTAATAAAAACAAAAATTAAAATTAAACCCAAAGCGTCTCTACATTGTGATTAAATCAAGAACGTTTCCCTCTGGGAGCTGCCACAAAACAACAGAACTAAAATCTAACAGTTTAATCATTTCCCTACCATGATGTAACTAAAACTCAGTTGCCTACTTCTAATTCAATCACTTTGTATATACTGAATCTACTGACAGTAAGAGAATTTTAAAACATGTACATACCTTGCTTAGTAATTCCTTTCAGCTCAAACCTAATAATTGGTCCTACGCACAGTCCTCCGCATTAGCCAGGATCTCCACTTTGAGATCATCTTCACCTGGCCCCAGCTGCCTTACAACTATAGAATCTAAACATAGATGTGTTAGCAGAAGAATGGTCCCTCAAAGATGTTCATGCCATGGGGCTTCCCTGGTGGCGCAGTGGTTGAGAATCCGCCTGCCAATGCAGGGGATACAGGTTCGATCCCTGGTCTGGGAAGATCCCACGTGCCGTGGAGCAACTAAGCCCATGCACCACAATTACTGAGCCTGCGCTCTAGAGCCTGTGAGCCACAATTACTGAGCCCGCGTGCCGCAACTACTGAAGCCCATGCACCTAGAGCCCGTGCTCCACAACAAGAGAAGACACCGCAATGAGAAGCACCGCAACGAAGAGTAGCCCCCGCTCGCCGCAACCAGAGAAAGCCCGCGTGCAGCAACGAAGACCCAACACAGCCAGAAGTAAATAAATTCATAAAAAAAAAAAATGTTCATGCCTTAATCCCAGGAACCTATGAATATGTTAGGTCACATGGCAAAGAGGAATTGAGGTTGTAAATGGAATTAAGGTTGCTAATCAGTTGACCTTAAAATAGGGAGAGTATTCTAGATTATCTGGGTGGGCCCAAAGTAATCACCAGTGCCCTTAAAAGTACTGGTAGAAGAAGCAGGCAGAATATGAGAGTCAGAGGGAGATGTTACTATGGAAGAAAGGTTCAGAGAGACACACTGCTGGTTTGGGTAAAGGAGGCCAATAATTGGGTGGCCTCTAGAAAGCTGAAAAGGCAAGGAAACAGCCTCCTTTAGAGCTTCCATGTGAAAGTGCAGCCCAGCTAACACCCTGATTTTAGCCCATTGAGACCCATTTTGGACTTCTGACCTCCAGAGTTATAATAAATTTATGTTGTTTTGAGCCACCAAGTTTGCAGCAATTTGTTACAGCAGCAATAAAAAACTAATAGAGGTACCCAGTAGGAATTCTGGAGATGTGCTTCTCAGGCAGTAGCAGCTTGTAAATGTTGGAGATGCAATTTGAACTTAGGCATTCTGGCTTCAGGGACTCTGCTCTTAACCACCACGCTAGATTGCCTCTCAATGGTAGGTTGTATACAGAACAAGTTCAAGGCCAGAAAAATATGCATGCCTAGTGACTTTATCACAAACTTTTCTATCTTGCTTTCACCAATGAATATTCTAGCCTGCCTCACAAATTCACATTTTCATTCTTAAGATGAAATGCTTTTCTTTCTGTTGCTTTAGTGATAGCTTTTTAACTGTCTGTATTTTCATCTTTACAAGGAGAAATGAACACTAATTCAAGAGTTGTTAGAAGGATTAACTGAAATAACGTGTCTGGCATATCATGATACACATTCAACAAATGTTACGTAAAAATGACCAGTATTACCATTATCAATACCACTAACACCACATGGGGAAGAATTTGGATCTATCAGAGTGGCTCCAAACAAAACAATTAAACCAAAAGGCAAAAAATATTTAAAAGTTGCATTGGGCTTCAAAAAAAGAATAAGCATCCTCCCCAAGTTTAAATTTTGACTATTTAAAAACTTAAAAAGTTGAAAGAATAGTACAACGAACACACACACACATAGCCTTTCACCTCCGAGGTTCAACAACTTGCTTTCTTCTATCTCTATAAGCACACACACACACATTTTTTGATGAACTATTTGAAAGTTAACTGCAGACAAAATATCACTTCATTTCTAAATACTTTAACACAGAGCACCTCCCTAATCTTTTGTTTTCTTAACACTGAATTTTTTTTAAAGTCCAGGCCAGTTGTCTGATAATATGTCCCATATTCTGAATTTTTCTAATTGCTTCCTCCTCATGATTAGATTCCAGTTTAATATTGTTATCAGGGATAAAATTTAGGTGATGCTGGGTACTTTTTTTTTTGGCTGCATTGCATCTTCGTTGCTGTGTGCGGGCTTTCTCTAGTTGCAGCAAGCAGGGGCTACTCTTCGTTGCGGTGCGCAGGCTTCTCATTGCGGTGGGTTCTCTTGTTGCAGTGCACAGGCTCTAGGCACGTGGGCTTCAGTAGTTGCAGCACACAGGCTCAGTAGTTGTTGCACGCGGGCTTCAGTAGTTGTGGCACGTGAGCTCAGTAGTTGTGGCTCATGGGTTCTAGAGCGCAGGCTCAAATTGTGGTGCATGGGCTTAGTTGCTCCGCAGCATGTGGGATCTTCCTGGGCCAGGGATTGAACCCATGGCCTCTGCACTGGCAGGCAGATTCTTAACCACTGCGCCACCAGGGAAGCCCTGGGTACTTCCTATTGCATCACATCATAGAGACTCACAATAACAAGTTTGATTACTTACTTAAATTCTTCTTGGTGCTCAAACTGTCCCCAACTTGACCACTGAGAAACTCCTCAGGCAGCCAGCTTCTGTGTGCTTTTGATATGTCAATATCACAATTAGTATGTAAGCCCTAAATGGAACAACTCTGTACAAGAATAAGTCTGAAAATGGTGAGCATGCTTCAAGTATTCTGAGACTAAATGACCATTTACCTCTACAGCATAACTGTTGGTTTTACAACCAGATAGGCTAAAATGGCCTTCTCTCCTTCAACATGTCATGCTTGCTTCTGTCTCAGGACTGTAGCAATAGCTGCTTCTCTGCCTGGAATACTTTCTGTACCTTTTTTGTGTAACTCCTTCCTGTTATTCAGGTCTCAATATGTTATCTCCCCAGAGAGAGCTTCCCTGATCAACCAATCTAAAGTAGCCTGTCACCCCCCTATCATACTGCCCATTTTATTAATAAAAAAATTAAAAATGCTTAATTATGAAATATTTCAAATATACAAAGAAGTGTAGAAAAAAGGAAACAGACACCCAAGTACTGTACATATTACCCAGATTTAACATTTTGCCACATTTGCCTCAGTTTTTTATTTAAAGAAATGAAACCTTATAGACACAACTCCTATGGTTAAGAAATTTTTTAAGTGGCATCACAATTATATGTATCTTTGTTGCAATTTGCTCTTTTCACTCAATATTTTTTAAAAACCTGATTTTACTGGTGAGGTGAACTTATTACCTGACTCTTTCTTGCTTTTTTGTTATCAATATGATTGTTGAATAAATGACTGAATAATTGATTCAACTTTCATGCATTAAGAGCTGAAGAGTTCTTCCAGGAGAAACAGAATAAATCTAAAATGATATTGCATGTGTCTGTGTGTTTGCAGGGGGAGCTGTGCTTATGGAAATTAGTAAAATAATGGCTTTTTTATTTGCTGTACTTGGGCCTCTCACTGTTGTGGCCTCTCCCGTTGCGGAGCACAGGCTCCGGACGCGCAGGCTCAGCGGCCATGGCTCACGGGCCCAGCCGCTCCGCGGCATGTGGGATCTTCCCGGACCGGGGCACAAACCTGCGTCCCCTGCATCGGCAGGCGGACTCTCAACCACTGTGCCACCAGGGAAACCTGGCATTCTTTAGCAGTACTTTAAATAAAGTACAAAAAGGAAATATAGAAAAAGAATTTGTATTTGTGAAAAAAAACTTATTTAACTTAATTTTTTTTTACTACAAGCTCTTCAAATACATCCTAAAATGTGTGTTCACTTAAGAGTGTACTGCCTATACACTTCAAGGAAAAATCCTTTTTAATTCCAGATAGAAACAACTGCCCATTCTTGAAATACTAGTCAAAGTATTAATGAGATTACAAAAGAAACAATTCTTTGCTGCTGCTTCATATTGATCTCTGCATATTAAATATCAGATTTTAAACAATAAGAAAGTTTAATGTGACTTTTAAGCTAATAGTAAGTTATAGGACTCTGACTATGCACTGCTACCCCCAAGCAGGATAGTAGTGCAGTACTCCTTTCCTCCACAGTGCTGCCTGGAGAGTCTGTTTCACACTGGAACAGTCCCCTGCAAGGATCTGGGGATTGATGAGGCAGGCAGAGTGGGCCCAGATGGAACGCTACAACAAACACTTTTAAGACAGTAGTAATGGTAACAATCTCAATGGTTGTCCACCTGACACACTGTTTAAATGCAGCATAGTACTTCAAAAAAAAGATAGATGTTAGAAGGTAGGTAGCTCCTACAACACTCTCATGCTGTAGAGTTCATATTCATTTGTCCATAGATACAAAGAGTAAAATAGTTTAATCTCTTAGGGAAAAGATGAAAACCTCTGGCTTATGCTTTAACACATTAATATGCAAGTGAATCATATTTGAAATATAACTTCCAAGGCTACATAGTTAATTTTAATTTAATATACTAATGGATCATTCTAAAATGATGAATAAACCCTTTTACTTCTATGTATGCCCTTCTCTGTGTTTTCTTTGTATGACCCACTTCCCAGTCCTCAAGATAAGCCATAGGCTCTCTTTTCTTATCACTTGACATTCTCACAAGACAACCTCATTGACATTCATGTTTTCAAGTGCCACCTAAGTGCCAATGGGCTCATCTATTTACAAGTCCATATTTCCAAGTGTCTACTAGCCATTTCTCCTCGAACATGTCCCACTACACCTCAAAGTAAAACTGATTATTTATGCCCCCACCAACCTTCTCCTTAAAAACAAAATCAGAATATGCTTCTCAATGTTCTCCATGTTGGTCAATGGTATTGGCACCATGACAACACTCTGACCCACCCAGTTCTCTAAGCCAGAACCTCTGGGGAACATCCAACTCTCTTACTCAGGGCTCTCTTCCAATCCATTTCTT